TGCAACCCATTTTTTGGGGGGGTTTTTGCCTGTGATTCTGTTGCACTATAGGTAAAGGACCCCTGACCATTAGGTCCAGTCGTGACCGACTCTGGGGTTGCGGCGCTCATCTCGCTCTATAGGCCAAGGGAGCTGGCGTACAGCTTCCGGGTCACATGGCCAGCATGACTAAGCCACTTCTGGCAAACCAGAGCAGTGCACGGAAACGTCGTTTACCTTCCCACCAGAGCGGTACCTATTTATCTACTTGCACTTTGACGTGCTTTTGAACTGCTAGGTTGGCAGGAGCAGGGACGGGAGCTCACCCCATCGTGGGGATTCAAACCGCCGACCTTCTGATCAGCAAGTCCTAGGCTCTGTGGTTTAATCCACAGCGCCACCTGCGTCCCTCTCCTGTTGTATTATATTTTTTCATTAATCTGGGCATGGTGTATTGGTTTGAGTGCTGGACTAGGACTAGCAGGGTGGGGTGGCTGGCTGGGAACAGATGGACAGACCCAAAATCAATTCCCTGTTAATTCACGAAATTCCCTGGGGTGTGTCACGGCTAAAAATTGGCCGCTGTTTCTTTAATGCTAAAAGAACTCAGTCAGCATGAGTCAGCGGCCTACAATGACTCATACAACCTTTCACCTAATTGAACCTGTATATATAGAGTGGTCAATGTTAGTGTTGGTTGGCTGAAAGTTGGCTGAGTTTGTGGTGTATGAAAGCTACTGGTCTTGGATGGGAAATACTTTTTCAAGAATAAAAGCAGCATTCTGCAAAGATACTCTTTCTCAAGGACTCTTTTGTGCCAACTAGGGTCCGAGGACCAGGCGAAGGAGTCAAAGGAGGTCAGAACCTTTTCCTTTTCTAACACTGACAGGGTGACCTTTGGCCAACCACCAGCTCTCAGCCTAGCTATGTAATCCTGCCTTGGGCTCAAGAGAGGAGAGGGGTGATACAGAGGAACATGCCACACACACTTACATACCTATGTTGTTGTTGTTGTTTAGTCGTTTAGTCGTGTCTGACTCTTCGTGACCCCATGGACCAGAGCACGCCAGGCACCTCTGTCCTCCACTACTTCCCGCAGTTTGGTCAGACTCATGCTGGTAACCTCGAAAACACTATCCAACTATCCACTGTCTCGTCCTCTGTCGCCCCCTTCTCCTTGTGCCCTCCATCTTTCCCAACATCAGTGTCTTCTCCAGGGAGTCTTCTCTTCTCATGAGGTGGCCAAAGTACTGGAGCCTCAGCTTCACAATCTGTCCTTCCAGTGAGCACTCAGGGCTGATTTCCTTAAGAATGGATGCGTTTGATCTTCTTGCAGTCCATGGGACTCTCAAGAGTCTCCTCCAGCACCATAATTCAAAAGCATCAATTCTTCGGCGATCAGTCTTCTTTATGGTCCAGCTCTCACTTCCATACATCACTACTGGGAAAACCATAGCTTTAACTATACGGACCTTTGTTGGCAAGGTGACGTCTCTACTTCTCAAGATGCTGTCTAGGCCTGTCATTGCCCTTCTCCCAAGAAGCAGGCGTCTTTTAATTTCGTGGCTGCTGTCACCATCTGCAGTGATCATGGAGCCCAAGAAAGTAAAATCTCTCACTGCCTCCATTTCTTCCCCTTCTATTTGCCAGGAGGTGATGGGACCAGTGGCCATGATCTTCGTTTTTTTGATGTTGAGCTTCAGACCATATTTTGCGCTCTCCTCTTTCACCCTCATTAAAAGGTTCTTTAATTCCTCCTCACTTTCTGCCATCAAGGTTGTGTCATCTGCATATCTGAGGTTGTTGATATTTCTTCCGGCAATCTTAATTCCGGCTTGGGATTCATCCAGCCCAGCCTTTCGCATGATGAATTCTGCATATAAATTAAATAAGCAGGGAGACAAAATACAGCCTTGTCGTACTCCTTTCCCAATTTTGAACCAATCAGTTGTTCCATATCCAGTTCTAACTGTAGCTTCTTGTCCCACATAGAGATTTCTCAGGAGACAGATGAGGTGATCAGGCACTCCCATTTCTTTAAGAACTTGCCATAGTTTGCTGTGGTCAACACAGTCAAAGGCTTTTGCATAGTCAATGAAGCAGAAGTAGATGTCTTTCTGGAACTCTCTAGCTTTCTCCATAATCCAGCGCATGTTTGCAATTTGGTCTCTGGTTCCTCTGCCTCTTCTAAATCCAGCTTGCACTTCTGGGAGTTCTCGATCCACATACTGCTTGAGCCTTCCTTGTAGAATTTTAAGCATAACCTTGCTAGCGTGTGAAATGAGTGCAATTGTGCGGTAGTTGGAGCATTCTTTGGCACTGCCCTTCTTTGGGACTGGGATGTAGACTGATCTTCTCCAATCTTCTGGCCACTGCTGAGTTTTCCAAATTTGCTGGCATATTGAATGTAGCACCTTAACAGCATCATCTTTTAAAATTTTAAATAGTTCAGCTGGAATACCATCACTTCCACTGGCCTTGTTATTTGCAGTGCTTTCTAAGGCCCATTTGACTTCACTTTCCAGGATGTCTGGCTCAAGGTCAGCAACCACACTACCTGGGGTGTACGAGACATCCATATCTTTCTGGTATAATTCCTCTGTGTATTCTTGCCACCTCTTCTTGATTTCTTCTGCTTCTGTTAGGTCCTTACCACTTTTGTCCTTTATTATGGTAATCTTTGTACGAAATGTTCCTTTCATATCTCCAATTTTCTTGAACAGATCTCTGGTTCTTCCCATTCTGTTGTTTTCCTCTATTTGTTTGCATTGCTCGTTTAAGAAGGCCTTCTTGTCTCTCCTTGCTATTCTTTGGAAATCTGCATTCAACATACATACATATATACATATATGTATATATATATATGTATATATATATGTATATATATGTAGATATACATATATCTACATACCTATACCTAGCCAGAACTCGCCAGAACTCAGTTCCAGCACCTCTCAGGTGGGCGCCATTGCCATTAAACATACTGAAACTCAGGACAGATAATGCCAATTTGATTTCACTATGTAAAGAGTCTCACAATCCTGGTCCACCCCACTAAATGCACAATCTGAGGCCAGTCTGGAACTGCCAGGCACAAACATCCATATTCAGAGACACATATAAATACATTGTTTGATATGATTCAACTGCTGAGAGCTGGACTGCAACATTTAAAATATAGTTGTGTTCCAAACATTAGTCCAAGAGGTAAAGAGAAGTTGAATTTTGTATAGGAAACTGTGAAGACTGGAATGATCAAGCTCCCCTAATCCATAGATCTTGAAATTTGAGCAGACAAAAGTGCCTGTGAAGAGAAGCTGGAACAGGAAGACAATATACCCAAGTAGACCAGCTATCTTCAACCTTTTTGGGTCCCACTTTAACCCAGATGTGCACCTGGGGACCCATCCCTTGATCTACTGCCATATATTTGCACAGCGGTAGTTGCGATCCACCTTGGATCAAGTGGGTCTTGACCTAACAGTTGAAGTACAACAACAAGAAGAGTTTGGACTTGATATCCCACCTTTTACTCCCCTTAAGGAGTCTCAAAGCAGCTCACAATCTCCTTTCCTTTCCTCCCCCACAACAAAAACTCTGTGAGGTGAGTGAGGCTGAGAGACTTCAGAGAAGTGTGACCAGCCCAAAGGTCACCTAGCAGCTGCATGTGGAGGAGCGGAGACATGAACCCCATTCACCAGATTACGAGTCCACTGCTCTTAACCACTACAACACGCTGGCTCTCTGAGGACCAGCAGATGATCTCACACTAAAGTCAAGTTCTCTGAACTTGGTTGCCCACTTAGCCCAGCATGAATTTAAGCTACTGTGAAATAATTCCCTATTTTGAGGATCCAGGTGCTTGACTCATAATAGGAACAAGGGAAGCAGCAGTTTGAAGCTTTTCTCCAACCAGAGCTTTTGCCAATATTCTATCAGAACAGGAGCATTCACCAGCTGCCAATACTCAGTGGTAGGTGCTGGCATAATTCACTATCAACTACACTTCGCTTTTCTCTCTGCAAAAAAGCTGACGTGTCACTTGCTCCCTGTCCTCTCCCAATTAGCCACAGATTGCTGCTTTTTTTTTTTTTAAGGCGGCCACCTGCCTCTCCAGTCTGAGTCCAGGGATAATCAGTGCTGGGCATTTTCCATGTTGTTAAATGCAATGGCAACTCTGGATTCCAGGTGCTGCTGTTTTTGCAAGGTTCAAAGTGATCTCTTTCACCGAACCACCATGAAACTCCCAGGCACAGGTGATAAAAAGGGCATCGCACAAAAGGAAAGCTTTGTAGGATTCTGACAACATGGGTGGGAGACGGTCTCACTTAATTTGAATTGCAGGAGAACAAAACTTTAATTTTTATTACACCTAGAAAGTGAGACAGATTGAGGCGAGAGAGACAGAGAGAATTTCTAAGCCACTTGTTTCAGCTAGTAACACTGAGCAGCCGTACGTATTCAGGACTTCAGGACTTTCTCATTCCCTGGAGAAGATTCACTATGTTACATAAATTCATCCCCTGCAGTAAAAACCCTATGTGTATCTTCCCAGAGGTAAGACCCATTCAGCTAAAATTAGCACCCAGATTTCTCTCCCAGGTGTGCAATCATGCAGTCTTGGTAACATCCAGACAGGGCTGGTCTGCCCCTGAGGCAGCTGCCTTGGGTGGCACCCTCTTCCCGCCCCACTGCCTCTGTTGCTGGTGGAGAAGTGGCAGCAGCAGCAGCTTCCAGCAACATCTCAGGAGTCTGCAGAGCCGGCTCACAGACAAGGCAGGGCAAAGCAGCCGCCTCAGGTGACAGAAGCACAAGAGCCTCAGGTGGTGAAATGGGCTGGGCTGCCCCTGTCAGCCTGGGGTGCACATAACAAAGGGGAGCAAAATATTTGGGTACTCCTGGTAAGCAAGCAGCAGGGCCTATGAGCCACCATTACCCCATGTTTCTAGTGCACCAGTTTTCAATCAACAGCTTAACAAAACAGCAGTATGCAGTGGGAAAATACTCTTTGTAATACTCACCAATACTTGGGTACCCCGGTGTAGAAGGATCACCTCCACCGTTCAAGGACACCATAAATGCTTTCTCGCTCAGGTTCTGAGTCTTTGGTAAATCACAAGGATCGACATAAAGAAGGGCACCTCCAAAACCTGCCTCTTCCAGCAGAGAAATCTGGGAAGACACACAAGTAAAAGGAGAGTATCAGCATTAGGTCGTTAACATTGTTTTCCGCTCTGCTCACATTTATATTGGACCTTCCTTCCATCTTGGAATCCAAGGCAGGATATACATGTGGTTCGTAGGTGGTCACCTCTCCAGAACCAAACCTGCTTAGCTTCAGCAAGGTGGTGGCTTCATGAGCTTTCAGACCATACCCTGGGACAAGTGTAAGGAATATCCCTTGTGGGCAGAACGCAGACTGCCAGAGAGATGGTTTGCAGGATTAAAGAAATTCATTGCTAATCAATGAAGTATTGTTCTTGTTGTTATTAAGGCTTGAATTTCCTTGTAAATTAGTTACAGATAGGTAGCCGTGTTGGTCTGCCATAGTCAAAACAAAAAAAAAATCCTTCCAGTAGCACCTTAAAGACCAACTAAGTTAGTTCTTGGTATGAGCTTTCGTGTGCATGCACACATGCACACGAAAGCTCATACCAAGAACTAACTTAGTTGGTCTTTAAGGTGCTACTGGAAGGAATTTTTTTTGTCTTGTAAATTAGTCTTAAGATGATTTACAAAAATCTTGTGGAGACAGCGAAATGTAGTTTCAAAAACAGAACCACAACAACTAAAGCTAGGAAGATGGTTGGAACAAATGTGGAGCGAATTTTCAAAAGAGAATTAATTGATTAAGATCCTAGTGTTGAACGCAAAATCAGTGCACTCCTTTCTAAATTATCACTGGGGATGTTCTTATGCAGCCTACCGAAGAGCTAAATCGCAGCATAAATTGTTTGTGGTTTGACTTTGAGCACACATGCACACGAAAGCTCATACCAAGAACTAACTTAGTTGGTCTTTAAGGTGCTACTGGAAGGAATTTTTTTTGTCTTGTAAATTAGTCTTAAGATGATTTACAAAAATCTTGTGGAGACAGCGAAATGTAGTTTCAAAAACAGAACCACAACAACTAAAGCTAGGAAGATGGTTGGAACAAATGTGGAGCGAATTTTCAAAAGAGAATTAATTGATTAAGATCCTAGTGTTGAACGCAAAATCAGTGCACTCCTTTCTAAATTATCACTGGGGATGTTCTTATGCAGCCTACCGAAGAGCTAAATCGCAGCATAAATTGTTTGTGGTTTGACTTTGAGCACATGCACACCATTTAAACATTTAAAGCACTAAACATAAAAAAAACAACCCGCCAATAAACCAGCAACTCTAGTTTGTGAAGGGTGCTGAGAGTTGTTAGGATATCCCCTGCCACCAGCCAGAATTACAATCTTCAGAACCCTCCGAGAGAAGCAACTGATTGTTAAACAATTCTGGGAATTGTAGCTCTGTGAGAGGAATACGGGTCTCCTAACTCAGCACTCTTCTCTGTAATTTTTTTTTTTTAATGCCAATTGCTCAGATGCCAAATTATATTATTTTGCTGGGCCCCCACATGCTAGAATTGATGATTTGATTAATTTACTTTAACTCTGCATTCCCAAAACTTATAAATTCCAATTGCACACCAGTCAGAATAACAATCCCTTATACCGCAGCTGCAGTTTTAACAACTTCCATTCGCATTAACACATCAAATAATTTACAGTCCTACAAGCGAAGCCTTCAAACTCTCCCTTTGTTCTTCTTGTGTGTGGCTATTATTCTGTCCATGATGTTTCTTCCTGTCCTTGTACTGTATTATGTCTATCTTTTGTCAGTTGTTGCTGTTCTCCAACATACCTTGGGCGGAGCTAGTATCCCACTGCTGTTTCATAAGTTCTCCATACTCAGCACTCTTTTCAAACTAGAGTTCTCAGGAGGAACCCATGCCCATTTAAAATTGTATGATACTGCTTTACATGTATAGACCAGATGTGGCCTAAATTAACACAAACCTATACATCTTACTGTTGCTGATTAAGCGTGTTCTCCCTAACAGAGAGCACGTGTTGCGGTTGGAGGAACAGGCCACCCTGCCATGACTAGGCAAATTTGGTGGAACCCAAACCTGTAAAGGGTTAATTGGGTTGCTGGGGATTTTTGAGTATTGCCAATTCGGAGGAGGGGTCAGAGGCTATAAATATAGGAGCCAGACGATGGGACGTCCTCTTGGCCATTTTGCACCGGATCACCCGCCCCCCTCCCTTTTATAGGGTGGTTCTTTGGTTCACTTGACCTTGCTATGCCTGTCATGGGGTCGTTCGCCTTTGAGCGGGGGCCTGGTAGGAATTTTGCCATTTGGCTGATTGGCTGTTGCCATTTTGTTTTTGCCTACTGCGTAGCAAATCGTCACAACTTGTAAGGTTGGCGGTTAGGCATTGGTTAAATTGGTTCTTGGAGGGGTAAGTGCCTATCCCTCCAAATGATGCGGAAAGGGAATTCCGTTAAAGGAATCCAGGGGCTTGCCATTCTTTCGTCCTTGTCCGTGGAGCCGGACTTGGGCCGTGCAAGCCCCACCGGAACATGAGGGTGAGAAGTGTGGGTCTGTGTCCCAGCTTCATTTCTCACCCAATACTTGTTTCCCACGCTGGCTTCCGGTGGTGTCCGGAAGTGCCAGCTCTGTCCTTGGGGGGCAAGGACAGATAGTCAAACCAATGCCTAAGCAACCACTCACATTGTTTTGTATTTGAATAAAGTTGTGGCCAAAATTATGCCAAAAACCTTAAACAAAAATTGATGTGTGAAGTGTGAATTTTTGGGGGGTGGCACTGTGGGACTCAACACGCAACTTGTTCAGTTATCTTGGGTATCAATTCCCTCCCTCAACTTTCTTTTTCCCCATCACTTCTCTGCCCCAAAGCTGCTTTGTTCTAATAATGTGGTAATGCACATTAGAAATCGGAAAGAACAAACACAATGCATTTTGTTTTCCCCTACCCAAAAAAGGGAATTTCCCCCCCTCTGTTGTTTTATTTTGATAGGCTTCAGGGAACTGAGATACAGAATACAGCAAGCGCCTGGTCCTGCTGCCATGGTTACGCAAGCCATTCAGGGGAGAAGGTGTACAATTGCTAAAACATGTAGCATGGCCTAAAACACAATCCCTGTTTCTTGGGAACCAATATGTCAGCATTCCTCCAAACAAACACCCCAGTCAAATAACTTATCCCAGATTTTGCATTTATAAATGCATTTTCCCAACCGCTAGAAATGACTCCAGGCCAATCAGTGGAAACTCATTATGAGCAGGAACTGGGAGCCAAATTTCCAGAAAGGGTAAAGCTACTCTCCCCAGGTGGAACAGTCGTCGCTTGCTAGAAGACACACCATGTTTTCTCTCCAAGCTCATTATTTCTAGGCTCAGGACTGACGAAAGGAGTGACTTCTCCACACAGAGCATTATTAACGTAAGGAGTGCAATCCCACAAGAAGTGCTCATGGCATTGTTCAGAGAATTAACGGTGCAAGCCATCTACCCGCACAGTGTTTTTCCTTCCCTGAGATGTGCTCCTTACTAGGTTTGTCGCTGAATGAAAGCTGTCCCGGTCTTTAACCAAAATGCGTAAGGCAGGAGGGGGCAGGGCGACTTGGGAACTGCCTTGTTCAGAATTTAAACACGTCCTGAAATTTGTAAGTAATATTCCTTGCAAAGGTACGGTCACATGTGCCATAAAGGGTTGAAAACACCATAGACATTGTCTGCAGAGTGCAGGCAGCTCGCCAGCGGAGTGTGCAATTGAATCTAGGACATTGTTTGTAGGAGAAATACGCCAGGCGGTTCAGTAAGGTCAGTAACTGTATAATTTACTGACAGGTAGAAGAACAACTATGTACGAGTATAAAGTGATGCTACCTCTGTCTGCCTCTCATTCGAGGCAGACAGCTTACAGAATAGACAGTCTTTCCAGTAAAGCACTTTTCCAGCAGAGATACAGCACAGGAAGGCTAAGTTCAAGCCAGCAGCACATCTGGCTCTGACTTATACCTCATGGGATGCTTGAGCTCATGGCCTTGAGCTCGTGACCTTAGTTAGCCATGACTTGGCTTTTTTTCTGCAACCATAAACTTACATACTCCAACGTATTCTGCATGCACTCTGCTAATGACAGAGGACATTGCATATGATGGATAAGGCAAAATCCACTATTGAGATATAGAGATGGAGGTGAAATTTCATTTACATCATATTTGGGTCACAGCAAACTTAATTCAAACTCTCTGAAACAGGTAAACCCACTTAAATTGAAAGGACAAACTGTACTTTGACTCTCTGGTTTTTGATACTTGAATGAACGTCTCTCCCCACCCCCAATCTCTCTTCCCACTCCTTTCATTAACTATTACACCTTTGATGTTCAGAGGCTGATCAGACTATTTCTGGTCAGTATCAATTTTCTATGCATTCATTCACACAACTCCATTCCATCCTAGTTCTACATTAATCTGTGATTTATCAATTTATTTAAGAATCTGTACAGCAATTCGCACTTCATTACACATTTAAATAGCGCTTGGATCACAAAACAGTATGTATGTATTTATTTAAACTGTTATTACCTACTCATCACTGCAGATGCAATTCCGGCTATGTCTGTAGCATTTCAGTACATTGAGCTGATGCTGTATCACAAAATTTGGAGAATTGTGAAATCCTAAAGATAATTGCATCCCAGGCTGTGTGTTAGCCCAGGAGTTGTGACTTATGTTGGTTTGCTTAAAAAATGTGGACCAAATGAAAACTTTCTATCCATCCCTAGATGAGTACTGCAGAGACCATCTAGCTGGAGACCACGTCATTCTGAAACCTGTGTTCAGATTAACATTTCCTTCTTCCAGGATTGCCCAAGACATCTGTCATGTGATCCACCATCTGGGAATCAGTGTGCTCTCAACTGTCTGTCCCATTACACACACATGGGATGATACTTCCCTGTGGTGCTATTGTGGTTGTGGTACATATGCAAATGCAACAGCCACATGGAAAGGCCAGCAAGGTTGTGATGATGCCACACAGTGTACAGTTTTTTTATTATTGATTTAATGTAAATCCTTTCTTCCATTTTGAATTTTGTTAG